GAGGAGGCCATCAAAGAGGAGCAGGACGCCGTCCAAGAGGAGGCCGAGGCGCCGGTGCCCCAACTGCCCGATGGGCCGGCGCCGTCCACCGACGACCCCGCCGACGAGCTGGGCGTGCTGAGACGGCTGGCGCGCTTCAAACTGTCAGAGCGCTACGAGATCCTACCGGCCGCCTCGTTGGAGGACGCTGAAGAGATCATGCACCGGCTGCGCGTACAGAACCTGGCGCTCAAGACCGAGATGGTGCGGCTGGCCACAGAGTTCGAGCGGCACGACGACGAGCACGGGCTCCGCTCGCGCCGCGGACGCAAGAAGCGCACCACCATCGTGGCCGTGGATCGTCTGAGGGAGCTGGAGAAAATCGAGGCCGGCATGCACACACTGTTCACCCCCTCCCAAGTGAAAACCCTCTCGCGTGACTACAAGAAAAACAGCGTCCAGTGGCGCGACGAGGATTTCCGTCGCGCGCTCGGGCTTCTGGAGCATAGCAATCAGCACACCTTCAACTATGTACGCAAGGTGATGAACATACCGCTGCCCAGCATCGGCACGCTGAAGCTGCGCTGTCCGTCGCAGCCGGAGCTGCATGTGCGCCTGGAGGCGGCGCTGCGCGAGCGTGGAGACATGGGCCGCAGCGGTCGCCGGATGAGCGGCCATGGCGCGGTCGGAGACGCCGGCGATGGCGTGGGCGGCGAGCACGCCTACCCGGAGATGCAGACCGACGACGGCCGCCAGGAGGACGACTGGATCGCCGTGACGCCCACGCGCGGCATCCTCAAGAGAAAGCGGTCCTCGGGCGGCGCGGCCTCGGCGCGCAAGGTGACGCACCAGGACGAGGAGGTGGTGTTTTATGAGGCGCCGGCGCCGGTGGCGCAGCGGGGGCGAGGCCGGCGCGGCGTGGGCCGGAGAGGCGGCAGCAGTGCCAGCACGCCGCGCCACCAGAGGGGTCTGGTGGAGCACTACGAGCCGCCGCCACCGCCTCCACCTCCACCTCCACCTCCCCAGGAGGAGGAGGAGGAGGAGGAGCCCGAGTTCGACGACGACGAGGAGGACGATGAGGACGATGAGCCCGAGGACGCGGAGGACTTTGAGGAGGAGTTTGGCGAGGAGATTGAGATCGACCCCGAGCAGCAGGAGGTGCCGGCGCATTACGAACAGTACCAGACCGCGTACGAGGACGGCGACGGCACCTGGACCACGTGGGACCCGCGACAGCTGCAGTGAGACGGCTCTGCCCAGTCGGGGCGCAGGTCAGAGTCCACAGCGTACATTGGGTGTGTGGATATCACATGGTTTGCCACGAGCTGTATGGGCGCCATTGAGTGAGGTTGGGTTTGGCAGGATGCGAACGTGTAGTGCTCGGCGAGTGGTGTGATTGGGGAAAGAGGAATGCAGTTCACCACAGATGTCTGTGGTATATGGATGACCATGAGTACAACAGCCTGTCGAAGGGAGTGTGGCCGCCTGCCTGCAGAGCAACGGCTGGGCTCCCTATACGTGTGAATAATTCGTTTTTGCTATTTGTTTTTCATCCTTCGTCAAATGCTGTCCAGCAAGCCGGGATATATGTATTCCTTGGATAGATGGCAAGCTACGCGCTTTTCGTTAGCTTATGTGTAGCTGTGTTCTTGAGAAAGCAGTGCGTTTTGTCTAAGCTTCCAAGTTTAATTTAAGGTCATCATCCATCGTCATTTGGGGATATGTGGGGTGCGGTTGAATACAACATGCTCATTGCAAAGTCACTTAGTTTTGTATTATTTCTCCCCGCGATGTATGATAGCATTGCGCGCTGTTACGAACTCTCGGAGCCTGCACTAGATGATACCCACGCCCGCCGCCTTCACATTGCGCTGACGGCATATCTCGGGAAGCGTGCTTTTGCCAATTCGTTGGTCGCAGCGAGCGTGTGGTCTGTGGGTCTGGGAGTGCGTTCGCGACACCTGCTACCACCCGTGTGTCGTTGGTTCATCTTTGGTTCATTTTGTTTGATTTTGATTTGCTGTACCTATGTTTACGGCCACATGAAATATGAATACAATATGTGACTTTATTTTGTGTGTGCTGTTGGGCAGTCCATGCATAGAATCGGAGACAATAGATAACTTTACACGGGTTGGCTGGTGATCCACGAACATAAGGGTAACAATACCTCGTGGCTACCTGGCGCGTGCTGACTTGATTGCTCTTGGGTTTACTTTCCAAGTTCCAGCGATGGGTGTTAGTATACCAAAAACGCTAATCTTCGGTGGTAGAGGATCGAGTAACATGATGCAATTCAATGGGGGGGAGGGGGGGCATTCGTTCTGCGTGAGTCATTCCAAGAAACTTAACGATAAAAATTCGTTAATTTTACCTCTTGGTTCATCGGTCGCCGTCGGGTTCGCCACTTTTAGCTATATAGGAGCAGAACGTCGCTCTCGTTATAGTTATTGATCATATCACGCAGGTCAGTGCCAGGCGCCCTCGTAGATACGGCTTACGTAAACCGAATTCACTTGCCCCCCCCCCCCCATTCCCGAACCAAATAGTCCGCCCAAACCTCTACCTTGAGTGGCAGGTGCGTCAGAGAGAAAGTCTCAGATGAATAGGATGTGCTATATCTGCGCAAAGGCGAGATATCCCATGTCAGCAGTCAATGTCCTGCCTCCAAAGGAGCGCTCTTCCAACAAGGAGCTGGAGTTATGATCGAGTTGGCATGGTGACCCGATGACTTTATAGGGTCGCTGACGGTGGCCGCCCCAGTAGATAACGACGCGGCAGTCGCTGAGCGGGGTGGATTCTGAAGACTGACTGCCAGCCTTTGACGAACAGACTCGACTTCGAGTCATCATATCAAGAACCAGGGTGAGTTAACAGAGCAGCTCAACATACGAACCGCCGAGAACAGCTGCCCGTCGACTCGCTTCTGCGGCGTACAGTGATCTGTCCTATTTGATCGGGTCCCTTCTGCAACTCGACAATGATCGGCTGGTTACGCATAGGCCTAACGCTGGGTCTGACTCTGATCTTTGCCTTTCCTCTGACGGTGATCGCCAGAAATCGGATCATTCGGGGAGAACCGATGATCATCCTCATACTGAACATGACCATTATTCTTTTTCTGTTCAGCTTCATGATTCTCCTCATCTCTAGTGTGGACATTCTGTTTGCATTTAACACGCCTCGGCTCCTCTGCAGTGTGTTGAGGTCAGTTTCCTTGGGCCTCTTCGGTGGCTTCAAGGTGTCGACCTTCTTCTTGGCGCTGGAGCAGTATATCGCTGTGGTCTGTGCACTGCACCACTTTACCATCATGAGCAGATGGGTGAACAGGATGAACGCCCTCACATGGTTCTACATCTTCACCCTAGCTTCGGCCGGACTGGTCTGCGACCATCTGGGACTCGAGACTATAGCCGACTTTGACATCCGAGTGTTCGGCACTGACCACCAAATTCGAGGATGCGACTGGACAAAAATACCGAATGCGTACATGGTAGGCGTCCAGGCGTGCGTTTCCCTTTTCTCCGTGTTAACGTGCGCTCTTCTGCTCTACACGGCCGTTCAGGGATGGAGGCACGAGAAGAGGATCGCCAAAGGCGATGTCAGCCGCCAAACTCAGCGGTTTATGCTGCGCTTCAAGTCCTTCAAGCGTATCATCAAGCTGCTGGTTGTATTTCTTCTAATCGACATCATCGGCACGGCGATTCACATCGCCTCTCGATCGTTTGCGCTGCCTTCCGCGTTCGAGAGCATCACAAACTCTGGCAGAATCCTCTGTCTCCTCGTCGAGTATTGGGCGTACGGCGTCAGTAACACCATCATGCGAAAAGCGATGAAGTCGTTTCTGGGGTTGCGCCAGAGGACGGTCGAGCCCCCGGTACCGCCATCAGCCCCGGAGCCCACTCCTCGTCACATTCCGTTTTGCCCGCTCGTACTGGCGGACCTGGAAGCAGCGTCCGCGAATTGAGGCTGGCAAACAAAGCTGAAAAATTTGATTTGTGCCGGTTAATGGTAATGTGGGCACTGGACAGGCACAATAAGTCGAAGAACATTATGACCCAAACTAACGGAAAAAAATCCATGCATCAAGGCGGACATTGGGCACAGGAAATTGGTCAGCGAACCCAAACCTGCACTCTGCAGTCCGCACAGAAGATGAGGGAATTGTACACTTTCTTGTTATCAATATGCCTGGAGTATGATATGCATGCCCGACAATGAAGACTCCAATCAAGTATGTTCAATATACATGACAGGAAATTGCTGACGTTGACGTCAGTGGGCGCCAGGCATCCGTTCACTAATGCGAAGGATGTAAAGATTCAAAGGCATCTGTAGTTTTTACGTGTGCAGGCAGAATAGAAAGAAGTGAATATTGATTAGGTTGATTTGTGGTCAGTTAGGGATTTGCACGTTCCGAGGCTCTCGGCAGTAAGCGCCACCAAGTCGACTATCAGCTGACTGCCTCATTACCATAAAGCAGTATAGGTAGTTATTCAGTGTCAAAAACGGTGCACTCCAGCGATTTGTAGAGCACAGATCGTCATCGTTCGTAAATCCACCATTTAGTGTTTTTGTCGCACTTGAAATATATATATATATATATATATATATATATATATATATATATATATATATATATATATATATATATATATATATATATATATATATATACATATTTATCATCATCACTGAGGCTCTCATTGACTCCTACATATGTATAGTGTATGCCACACAATACCTGACACCCAAGCGGCTCTGCCGGCTAACACCGGGCTAAGCGTGACCTTGCGCTCTGCAATGAGCCAAATGCTCGGCAGCTGTATCTGTTTGTGACCGGATAAAAATATACTTTCCTTTAACGCACTGCTATTTTCGTGACAGCGCTACGGAAAGCGTCGTAGGGCCTACCGATGCTTATGTAGGCAATTAACGAATACGATTGAGACGTACATTGCATATTGTCACTGCCCTGCATATTGCCTCATGATAAAATCAGTCTCGGTATACACTAAAAATGCCCATAAAAAATATTTATTGTCATAAAGGCATTCGGTCCAACAATCATTTCGGCAATTATAATAAATGCAACAACGAGTAAAAATAGTCATTACTGCAGTTGTAAAAACCCTGAACATTAGCGTAACTTAACCCGAAGTTTGGCAGTAAAAACGGCACTACACAGCCTACACAGTACCGCGATGCAGGGCATTAAGATCCGAATGCCTGCGGACTTCGCATCTTGAACTTTTCGCTTTTTGCATCTGTCCTCTACCATTATTCTTACACTTAGTATTTAGACATACCGGACGGTCAGTAGTTGGCGAGCCTCGACCCTGCTGGGTCAACGTTGGACAGACGAATCTGGCTGTTCGTCACTGACAATATGAAAACGGTACCCATCATTGAAATGAAGAAGACTGGATTTTGTTAAGGAAGAAAAATAAATTCCATAGATAGTCTCAGTTGCAGCTATTTCAAGTAAACCCAAAATAATACGCAAAGTTCTTTCACAATGACACCGGGTTGACGGTCCCAAGCTGTCTCTCGCTAAGTCATGTTTACACCCGTGGTTTTCAGGCATTGACGAATAATATCAAATCATGAGGAGGCATATTCAAATACTGCAACTATGAAGTACGTAAATTGTGGTACATACTTTCACATATGGGCGACAAATATCCCGAGCCGAGTAAAAAAAGCAGACTATTTAAGTACATAGGTACAAACATACCAGTATGTTCCCCCTTGAAAATATGACTGGCTCAGCGACTTCTGCAATTCACATTCGCGTCAATATATCAGCACAGCCTTGGAAGGCAGCCATCAAAACGACTTCATGCTACGAGACAGTATGCCGCACGTTACCTCCCACCGCCAGTGACGCTCCCTCTAGCTAGTCCGCTGGTTGCGGCTGAAACACAGAAACACCGGCTGTTACCATTACTGGGCAATATACGACACTGTGACACTGCCACTAGCGCGTATCACATAAAAACGTGCTATACTATACCATCCCCCCCCCGTCCGTCGTCTTCATCCTCAGGACGTTCAAATCCTCCTCCACGCCACAACCCTCGCTCCAGGCTGGACAGGCAACTTTATCTCATGCGGGCTGCTCCCTTGGAGCGGCACCGCTGCTCCGAAGGAAACACACCCGTAGCCGGGTGCAGTGAATACTTGGGGGGGGGGGGGGGGGGGGGCTGGTCGGCCTGTCCTTTGGGAAGGGCTCAGCCCCCGGTGACTCTCTAGGGAGCTCGCCCACACCAATGTCTCCTCCTAATTTCTATCATCCTCCCGGCTCTGCAATAGTCTCATTGGACGGAAAGAGCGTAACCCAACAAAACAAACAAACTATACTATACTACACCATTTCTAGTTATACTATTTGTTAGTACTCATAGCGTGGAAGTAAAAGTTCAGAAACAGGAGACCATAATACATGTTATAGTAGAAATCTGCAAACAATAAATTCACATCAAACCACACAAGTTGGGGTCCTCAGTACATCCAGTGTGAACCAGGCTTTCGCTCGCCAACCAACACCTCACCTCTACTAAAGGCTGGTGTGACGTCACGCCGCTCAGTTGGGCGTGATCAGGTACATGACCTCGTCCAGCACCTCCAGGTTCCAGGCCTTGAGTCGCTCCCAGTCCTCTGCCGTCCTCTGCCGGCGGCCGAGACACTCCAGCTTCACGCACTCGTCTGGAATGTAGAGAATGGAATGTGGAATGGAATGCGTCTTTAGTAATGAACGGGTGAAGTACAGTGGTAGCGAGTGACCGCCGTAAACGCACAACACACGACGGCATTTTACTGGTAAAGTGGCAGAAGGCAAATGTTATAGCTGAATTGTGGCTTACGCAACAAAAAAAAAAAAAAAAAAAAAAAAAACGAGAAAAGAGTCAAGACCGAAACCCGCTCAAATTCGGCGAGTACCGTCCGAACCATTATCTGTAACTCTGGTCCTCTCACTGCAGTCTTGTAAAGGCCTCTTCCCACAGCAATTAGTCCTCTCGCCGCAGTTCTAACCCTCCCACTGAAGGCAAACCCTGTAAACCGTGACCAGCCTATCAATTTCTGACGACACCCTGTTCAAATCTTCCATTGAGACCTAACCAAATCCAAGGCTCACCGAGGACATGTACAAATCCCTCACTTCGCCCTTACCCAGCCTCCAGCTGCCCACCGGAGTCCTTTTCAAGTAGCTCACCGAGGTCCTATTTAAATATCTCACCACGGCCATAGAATATGTCAACTCACCGAGGTCCTGTTTGATGTCGGTTTCGGTGAGCGCGCGCGGCGGCCCCGAGTACCGGCTGGTGTCGTACTCCACCGCCCACAGCAGCCAGCGGCAGCCGGGGGCCATCACACCGCGCATGAACCGGCAGTACCTGCGATATGGAATCACAGTATGATGGCACCAAAGAAGAGGTATTAACTGCGGCACGAATTCAGAGCATGAGGACGAGATTGATAGGACGCGCTCGGACACATGACATATCGACGTGACATTCTACAGCATAGATACTCGTCTCTTAGGTCCACGACTATGCGTCTTGAACCTTTAGCTCAATCTATTGGAAAGCTCCACTCACTAAAAGCGGAGTCAGTACGTTCGATAGGAATGGCAAGAAGTCTCCCGGATTTCGGAGTCTACCACACGACGAAGATTCTACGTCGTCCGGCCAATGCCGTTCGAGGCCGGCGGGGGGCTGGGCTGCGGCGGTCATCGAACGGGATTGGAAGGGCGACGTAGAATCTTCGTCGTCCGGGAGACTGCGAATACGCCCTAAATGTGACCGCTGATTGTGCACTCACGCCGGTCGGTCATCCCGGGTGATGGCCACATAGGATCCGCGGTCCCAGATGGCCTGCACGGGGCCGATCAGCTGGGGGTTCAGCTCACAGAGGTCCGCCTGGTACAGCCGCATCCGACCGTCGGCAGTCTATGGGAGGGAGGTCAGGGGGTTCAGCTCACAGAGGTCCGCCTGGTACAGCCGCATCCGACCGTCCGCAGTCTATGGGAGGGAAGTCAGAGGGTTCAGCCCACAGAGGTCCGCCTGGTACAGCCGCATCCGACCGTCGGCAGTCTATGGGAGGGAGGTCAGGGGGTTCAGCTCACAGAGGTCCGCCTGGTACAGCCGCATCCGACCGTCGGCAGTCTATGGGAGGGCGGAGAGAGTTCAGACGCTGGGAAGGGACACATTTAAGGACGGAGTTAGAGACAGAGCAGAGACTGTGACCGGTCTGACAGCCGGGGAAATTCAGACAAACACGAATAGACATTAGATATTAGATAGATAGACTTGAGGTCTTTCCTAATTAGTTGATAGTACAAGCAACGGAACGGAAATTCATGAAATAGTTACCTCATCTTTCACCAAACTTAGCTGAATATCATATGAACCGATAAAAGCTCCTATTACTTACCGACATGTAGAGCAAGGAAAAACATTGCCACACAGCACTTACCTGAAAGAGGTTGCCAGCTTCTGTCGTCGTTTTGGTGAACTCCAGATTATTTTCGGTGAAAAAGTCCGTAATGGCCTTCTCGACGCCCTCGATTCCAATCACAGTGTGCCCTTTGTTGTACAGCCTGTAGGGCAAAGATAATGTCGGCGATAAGTAATAATCTTGTCCAACATACAAATGCCTGCCTTCAAGTCTGAAGCGTTAGAAATTCTGGCGCTCCAGGTTATGTATTAGTGAATGATCAGGGGTCAGGAGTGGGACATCAGTAGAGTCAGTCAGGAGTTTGTGGACTTGTGGAGTCCATGAGACATCCCTCGACTCACCACATCATGTCCAGTGTCTTGCCGCAGAGGGGCACCAGGAAGGCGACGGGCTTGTCGTCGCTGGCCGCCCTGTGGTACCACTGCTCCAGGTTGGGGTTGACGACCGGCATGTGGAAGCGAATGTTGTCGGCCTGCCACTTCTCGCGCCACGTGTCCATCCGGTGTGCGCCGGCCATGGCTGCTGGGCTGGCGGCAGGGAGATGGGGCTGAGCTGGGGGTAAGGGGTGCTGAGCTGGGTGCACGGGGAGGGTGCTGAGCGAGGAGGGTGCTGAGCGAGGAGGGTGCTGAGCGGGGAGGGTGCTGAGTGGGGAGGGTGCTGAGTGGGAAGGGGGCTGAGCGGGGAGGGGGCTGAGTTGGCGGCACGGGGAGGGTGCTGAGCATGAGGCCCAGTCACTAGCCGCACGGACATTTCATGGACACTACGGCAAGGGCGGGGGCGCGGACTGCACATGGTCACAGCGCGAGGTCCAGCAGCCACAGCCAGCAGCCCGCCTACACAAGCCACTAGTACGCCATTCGGGGCAGGAGTAGTCAGTGGAGGCAAAACTAACGGTACATGAAGCCAAGAATGCCCGTCTAAAGAGTAAGGACAAGCAGAAGTATGCATCTTCGGAAAAGATACATTGAAAGCAAGGCACTAATTTCATGCGATACAAGCGAAATAGAAACGAGCTAGGAGAAATAAAGCATGCAGAATTGGACAGGTGCAAAAGCAAGCTGCTAAGATGAGAGTAACAAAAAGGCGCTGCGAATATTATGTAACAAACTTTCGTAACGATAAAAGTCCGTTCATTGTTCATACACCATTAGCTTCAACCAGCTGAGCTAGAACATACTTCACAGCACTGCATGCTGAAATAACTACACTCTTTGCTACGCAGCGTCGAGCAAATACAGCAAACCCGTCCCATCCGCACAAACTACGTTTGGCGATGTGGTAGGGAAGCCAGATGGTAGCGCAAGCCTAGCGGACCAAAGAACTGCAGGCTGCGGGTCGTACCTTTACTGCGTGATGGACTCATCAGCTTGGCACCTCCTCGTCAACACCAGCGCGATTATATCTCATTGAGTGCACATCGCACCTAATGGGGGCACACTCACACGGGAAACTATCGTGCTGCACAAAATAGGTTAACAAAATAGGGAGCAAGAAGGGCAGAAAGTTTGTATTTCTTTTGGTCGGAACAAACACATAACATCATTCATATGTACACCCAACACATTTCAATCACAAGCATGATGACGACAAGTTTCAAATAACGAAATAATGGTTGGATGCACTTGCTTTGGATCTAACAAGAATAGTCAGCTTATCATAAAACACATCGTGCAGACATCGAAACGTGATTCGACTTTCAAACAAATCTAGCCAATCTTTCGACATCTGTAATTGGTAATAGGCCAAAATATCCTGAAACAATGCATATAACTTTTAGTGACTGATAAGTGGCAAGAAGACATGCGAGTTATGAACAAACAATGAGTTCAATCAGTGAATCTTTGACAAATTAGTGATTCAAATAACAAACTATGTATGCAAAAGTTCCTTACCGCGATTGTGGGGATCATGAGGCACAAAATATTAGGATTATTCACAAATTAACTCTGAGTAACACA